CAAGCTTATTCTGAGAGACACCATCATGGGCCTGTCCTGGCAGGTGAGAGAAGAGAAATTCTCTTGAAAAGGTATGAAGATAGGCTGTATCCCTGGTGTACATCCTTCCTAATTTTGAACCATATAGTGTTTCCTTGCTCTTTTCCGACAGCTGCCTCTTGGTCCAAGTATAGGTTTCACATGAACACAAGTGTTCTGGGATTCTGACTCTTCTCAAAGTTAAGCCACAATTTGTTATGATCCACAGAGTTAAATGCCTTTGCATAGTCAATGCAACACAGACATTCCTCTGGTACTCTCTGCTCTCAGCCAAGATCCAGCTAACATTGGCTATAATATCCCTAGCACCATGGCCTCTTCTAAACCCAGCCTGCACACTGGAAGTTCCCTGTTGAGGTACTGTTCCAGCTGGTTTTGGACAATCTTCAACAGGATCTTGCTTGTATGTGATATTAATGGTTTTGTTAGACTATGTTCACACTCTGTTGGATCATCTTTATTTGGAATGGGAGTAACTATGGATCTCTTTCAGTCAGTTGGCCAGGTAGTTGTCCTCCAGATTTCTTGGCACAACCTGGTGAACACATCCAGAGAAGTATCTGTTAGTTGAATTATGTCAACTGGTATGCAGTCAATTTCTGGCACCTTGTGGGTTCCCCGCCCCCCATTTCTTTCGGGGCGGTTTTTCTTTTTTTTTTCTTCCCCTTTGTTTTTTGTTCTTTTTTTTTGTTCTTGATTTTTCTTTTTTCTTCCATTTTTTTTTGGTAGTGATCTGTGTATAACGTCCATATTCTTGTAATGCTTCCTGAGTCATTCAACATTCTGCCCACATCATCCATGTCTTTTCAATATATATATGCAGAACAGATCACCCGGGAGGCTAGACTTTATGAGGAGGAATGTGATATCAGGTCTGGTGGAAGACTCATCAATAATCTGAGTTATGCAGGTGACACAACCTGAGGAGGATCTAAAATACTTGCTGCAGAAGGTCAAGGACTGCAGCCTTCAATAAGGACTGAAACTCAACACCAAGAAAACAAAGATTCTCACCACTGGGCCAGCAGGTAGCATCATGACATATGGAGAAGAGCTTGAGATTGTTAGAAGCTACAGCTTGCTTGGCTCCACAATCAACACTCTTGGTACCAGCAACCAAGAAGTCAAAAAATTAATTGCATTGGCCAAGTCTACTGTCAGAGACCTCTCCAAAGTACTGACAAACAACAATGTCAGTCTAGAGACTAAGGTGTGCCAGATCCAGGCCATGGTCTTTGCAATTACTTGCTATATGTCAGAGAGCTGGGAACTGACAAGGGATGATAGAAGAGGAATTGATGACTTTGAGTTGTGGTGAAGAGTCTTAAACATACCATGGGCTGTCAAGAGAACAAACAGGTCTGTCTTGGATAGGGTAAAACCAGGCTGCTCCTTGGAGGGACAGATTTTGAAGCTCCGTCTTACATACTTTGAGTATGTTGCCAGGAGGGACCAGTCTTTGGAGAAGAACATCATGCTTGGAAAGGTGAAGGGGTAGTGCAAAAGAGGAAGACATTGGATGAGATGGGTGGACTCAGTGACTAGGGAAATGGGGGTAAATGTGTCAGAGACATGAAATTGGCTCAATATAGTATAAGTTCATAGGGTCACTATGAGTTGTGAGCAACTTGACAGCACATAACAACACAACAGGACCTACCATAAATATTTGTTGTGAAAATAATATGAGACGGCATCTACCCAAGTGCTCACACAGCACCTGAAATCAAAAGTGACTCACTTAGTGACTGGACTTCACTCTGAGGTGGGTCCAGGGCCCAAGGTGGGCCAATCAAAAATAGTTCTGGAAGTTTTGCTTGAGCTACTTGCAACAGGGCGCTTCTTTACCACTCATGGTAACACTGGTATCCAATGGGATACTGGCAGATAAACAACTCAGGATTAATTCTCCAGGAGGACTAAATTGCTGTGTCAGCATCTCAGGGAGTACACAAAATCAGAGACCAGCAGCAGAGCTGCAAAGGACCAGCGCTTGGTTATAGGGGCGATTGCCACCACAGCAAGCTGGTCTGAGTCCAGCTGTCGGGCCCTCAGTAGGAGGAGACAATCCAGAAGGTTCTGGTCTGTACGAGCGCTCTACTTCAGTCAAGTCTGTTTGCCAGGCTTCTACTCACTGCGCCTCAAAAGGCAGAAAACAGAACTGTGGCTTCAAATTCAAGACGTCATCACCAAAAGACAAGACACATCTCATCTGCATTTACTAATTTCTGTGTGAGCTCCCCATGCTCACAGCTTTTTGGGTAAAAATAAAAGAAAGAAAAGCTGGACAGAAAGAAGGTCCTTGTCCCCTCCAGCTCATCCATCCTAATGATAATGTAATTCTCTCGTTGCGCTGCAGGAATGTTCTCTTCCAGACTGATTTTGTGCTACTGGTATTAGGAGCTGAGTGAAAAGCTCGTACCCAGAATCGACTGGATGAAGTTTAAAACTGTGATAAATTTAAACCAAGCCTTTGGACATATGAAACATTGGAAATGCATTTTGGTTGCTGGGTGATGCAAAGAATCAATCATTCAATAACTAGTTGAAAAGCTGGTGGTGTGAACCAGTCAAAGTGCCTCAGGAGACTGGATTCTGAAAGGTAACAGCCTTGAGAATATTAGGGAGCAATTAACTCCACTCACATGAGGAAGCTATGAGCCAGAATTGACTCAGTGAAAACAATGCCAACACATGTGTGTGTGTATCTAAATGTATATGAAATATTAATATATTCTTCAACATGTATTTTTCCATTAGGACTCTCACTGGATTTTTCAGAGTGTAAACTGTTGTCATTTTCTAAAGGTAATAATATACATCTTGAATGCAAAGATTTTAAGCTTTCCTTCACTACATTTAAGAAACCCTGAGAGGTTAGTGGTTAAAAGGCTCGGCTGCTCATCTCAAGGTTGACAGTTCAAATCCATCATCACCTCCTGGGAGAAAGCTATGGCGGTCTGTATCCATGAAGACTTAGAGCCTAGGACACTAACTCTATGGGGCAGGTGTCTTCTGTCCTACGGGGAAATACTGAGTCAGTACACACTCAACAGTAGCGGGCCTACTGTATTTACACCGCCTTTTCTCCAAGAAGCTTGCACTGAGCAGATCTTTGGTCTGCTGTCTGTAGTGTCCCCATGGTCACATGGCCCACAGTTCTCCTCGGCCAGTGTTATTTATTTAGGAGAGTACAAGGGGATCCCAGTAGGCTAATCAGAAACAATTCTGTAGTTTTAAAATGAACTAGTCAGAATGAACCACCACTTTCTTTTTCTGGGTGTTTGTATGCATGTGTGGGTGTAATTGTCTCTATTTCCATAAGCAGTCTGTGTCTACAGTCACACAAAACCAAATACATGCAGACCTTCCATTGCTTCTACACGCTACATCCAATCCAGGTTCACCCAGCCGCCTCCAATTTACAGGTGGGCTTCTTTTTAGTAAATCCTATGACTTTAAGGTCTCAGGCTTACCTCAAAACACATCTGCTGTGTAAGCTCCCTGGCCTGCAGCACTGGCATGCTGCACTACCTGGCAGGTGCCTGGGATGCCCTTCCTTACACGTTTTAGTCAACTGAAATCAGACCCAAGGACACAGCTCCAGTCTATCAACCGCATCACCATCTGCACTCTGCACTGCCACCCTCAGCCTTTCTGCCTCTTCTTCTTAGTCTGTTCTTAACACCACCACCAACTGATTCTGTTTAAACTAAGGTCAAATCATAACACTTTTCTTCCCCCAGTCTTAGAGTGTTGACAATGACTCAAAGGAAAGACCCAACACCCCTCTGCCTTGTTTCCTCTCAACACCTTCACCTCTGACTCAAATGTTCCAGACACACTGACTCCTAGCCTGGACCAGACCACACATGAGCCTGCCCCTGGGTCTTTGCACATACTCTTTTTTTCTCTCTCACCTCCTTTAGGTTTTTCCTCAAATATCCCTTTCCCAGGGAGGCTGACATTGAGCACTCCACCCTCAACACTCACTCTCAGCCCCTTGCCTTCCAGTATGTAGTTTCCTCCGTTACACACTTAACATTTTCTATCTTGTGTATCTTATTTCTAACATCTAAGATCCACAAGAGCAGGTACTTTTGTCTGTTTTATTCATTGATATCCCCAGTGCCTAGAAGCTTCTCTGTCACGTGGAGGGGCTAGAAATTAATTGAGGGAGTGGGGAATATGACACCTGTTTGTCACTGATCAAGTTCATTTTAAAAAGGACTCTCACTTTTATCTGGGGAGCTGGAGGCAAACAGGACAGCCATCAGGGCCAGCCTGCCTCACCCAGCTCCCCCTGCTGACAGACCAGCCATCAGGGCCGGCCTGCCTCACTCATTCCTCTGTTGACACAGGGCAGACACAATAAATGTCACCAAACTTCTAAGCAGGCTACCAGCTGGCTTCCCACCAGGGAGAACAAGTTCAAGATGAGGACAACATATAGATGGCTTATAACACAGGCCATTTTATATTGCTTCTATGAAACGGCAAATTTCTATGAAATGTTTTCCAGTCATTCAAAGTTAAATTTCATCAAAAGGCTAAAATCTTCGTTCAGATACTGAAGGGTGGTGACAATAGAGAATCTTCAGGGGCTATGAAATCTGCCAACTCATCAGGCAGCTTGAGGAATAGGAGTTCTAAGTGGACATGGGACTGTAATCAAGCATATAGCGGAGATGGGATTTGAACCTGCATCTCCCTGTGTTTTGGGCACTGAGTCTCAGAAGCTCACTCTAAATGCCCTGAGCTCACAAGCAACTCTCATCCAGTATCTTCCTCCAGACACAAGAGGGTCTCCAGGTGGTAACAACCAGGGACCTCGAAGGTGACTCACTTTCTGAGTAGAGACCTTAGGCTTCACGCCTCGGTGGTTAGTGTCTCTCCCGGGGCAGCGAGTCACAGCATCACCCCACCCCGTCTCCTCTGTGGGTGCTCCCTGGCCGACTCACCTCCAGTACACGAGCACAGCAATGAGAAGGATGAGGCACACGAAGGTCAAGGCTGATACCACAATCAGAGGGATGATCCACTCCATCCTGCCCGGAGAAGGGCGGCTCGACATTCCAGAGGTGTTCTTTTCCGCTGCCAAGAGAAAGGAGCCCAGTTAGAGGAGAGAGGTGAGCCGAGCCGGGAGCGGCAGGCAGAACCATGCTCCGGTTAGTTCTGTGACGGGAGGGAACGGAGCCACCTGGGCTCCACAGAACTGGGCCGCCAGCTCTGGGCAGCCCTGTGCTAGGAGGGGGGATGCTGCAGTCCTCATGATGAATCACCGCCCAAAGCGGACCTCTCCTGCAGGCTGCATCCTGTACCTGCAGTGGATAAATCTGCAGATGGAATTCTAGATGTCTTTGAAAGAGGCCTGTGCAGAAGACACAGACACCCAGCTTCCCTCTGAGAATGAGAACACGGACACGGGCCTGTGTAGATGCCGCTCCAAACCCGTCTTCTGAAAAGGGGACAGTGTGTAAGGCACTGGGCTACAAACCTAGAAAGGCTGGAAGTTCGCATCTACCTGAGGGAGGAAGACAGGCAGTCTCTTACTGATTCATTGTACAGTCTAATCCAGGGGAGGGGTAATGTGCACTGGAACTGACTTGACAGCAGTGAGTTTAGTGGGTTACCACACACCTAGCAAATTGATAGGGGTTCGAGCACAACTGAATAACAGACAGGCCCTCAGGGATCCTGGGGTGGGGGCAGAGGTGGCCATTCAACAAGTGACTAGAACATGAACTTGCCACCTCAGGAAGAACTGTTTGCTGTAGGAAACAGCCAAACTGGCCAAGGACTGTGGAAATACATCCTGAGGAGGCTCTAGAGAGGCAGCCAGGGGAGACATTCGAGCCAAAAAGAGAGCAGGGCAAGAGCAGAAAGGCAGACCAAGATGGAGAGCCACAAGTCAGATCAGCCAGGGCCTCGCAGCTAGGATGAAGGGAACTCGATTTAGTTCTAAGGGCAGTGAACACCGCTGGGGGGGTTTTTAAGCCCCACCAAGGACCAGACATGCACTGTCTCCCTCAGCAAAGCTCCAGTATTATTGCAAAGTTCTAGAGGCCCAGTGCAAAGTTCTGGTGGCCTAGTGGCAAGAAGCTATGCTGCAATCCTACAGGCACGTAGTTCGAGGTCACCAGCTGCTCCATGGGAGAAGGATGGGAAATCTCGTTCATGTGATTAACTGCCTCCAGAAACCCACTGGAGGGTCGGCTATGGATTGGTTCTGACTCACTGGTACAACAACAGAGATAGGCCAGAGGACCCAGCAGCAAATGAGTGCAATTCGGGGGGACTCCAGCAGGGGGCAGGCCAGCCACACACTTGTCTGGCTGGTGGCTGGGGAAAGACCTTTTAAGTCTTCTCAATGAAAATGTCAAGAGGTTTGAAGGTGTAGACCACATGGTGGTCCAAGCACTTCAGCATCCACTGCGGGACTCTCCTGAGTACAGGAGGGACCCACAGGACCTTATTTCTCTTCGCATGTCTTGACAGAAAGTGGCTCTGGCCTGTGCTCCTTGAGAGGAGGGGACAATGAAAGGTCTGCATCCCTCTCAAGCACTGGAGGGGACTCTCGGCCAATGCAACCCCTCACGCCATTATCTCCAAGTCACCACAGGAAGCTCGATGGGATTGATTCCACCTGAAAGCCAGCTAACAGTGGCTGCAGCAGAAACGTCTAGGGCTTTATGAGGGGCTGAGGTTGAAAGGGTCTAGCAGTACAGTCTAGCACCCCTGAAACCTTATGTACATCTCTCTATTGGCAATTATTTGTCCTCTACCACCTCACCCTGGCAACTAGTTAAGGGGTTTTCGTCAGATTCTCCGAGAAGTCCAGGGCCCAGAAAGGACTGAATTGCCACTGTTGACTCATTCCTGTCAGGAAAGAAGGAAGACCATGGAGACTTAGTGTCTGATGAAGTCACATTGTCTGAGAGCAGAGCATGGTTCCTATAAAGGTTTCACAACTCTGAATCATTTCTCCTTCTAACATTTTATAGGTACCTGAGATTTCTGAAAGCCCACATTTTGCTGAGGGATAAACAGCATCTGAAACTCCACTGCAGACAGTCCTCCAGGGCTGTCTCTGTGGGGGAGGTCTCGAGCCATAACAACACAGAAATGAACCCTATACATACTGATCGTGAACAAGTGCAAGCTGTTGGATATGTCTGAGTAAGCAAAAGTCTGGATGCCATTGAATTCCCACATGTGGCATGATAAAATCTGTTTCCTTTTTAAGGCCATGTTGCTGTTGTTAAGTGCCATCAAGTCATAGACTCATAGTGACCCTATGAATGAAGACCTGAACACTTGCATAACTTTCATCATTTCTCCAAGTTCACAGAGTTTCTGTAGGCTTTTGCAGGCAAGCTGTTTCAGAGTGGATGCCACTCCTGCTTCCAAGCTTGTTTTAATCAGAGAGCTCCACCAAATACTGTCCACCATAGCGTACCTAATTTGGACATAGCGTACTTATGGACATGGTTAGACTCTGAAGACAAGGTCATTACTCAACAGTCGGCGCTGTGAAAAAAATGGAGGATAACTTCATCAGCTCCCGGAACGGAAGATGACTATGTCAGTATACAACTGTCACACCGCACTGTTCTCACATTTCATCATTACATAACCGACAGACTCTCTCACGGCATAACTGGTGAGATTCATCCTTACGTAACTACCAAATGCCTGTGTTCCATGGCCCAGCCAAGCTGACACACGACCTTGACTACCCCTGCCAGTGTCACCGTGCCTTTGAACCTCAGTATTTTTTACTGTCGGGCCTATGTTATTAATGTGCACAACAGTTGAGTTTTTCCTATGTCATAAGTGTGAAATGTCAGATCATGAGACACTTGATAAGTGAGGAGTAGATACAATGGCTTATTTTCAAGGTCCCACAAGCCTGGAATTTAGTTCCATCTCCACAACACCATGGGAAATCGGCTCCTGAGCCTCCCCTCCCTATAGTCCTTCTAGAACTCTTCACTGTCCTCAGGACCAAGGTGATCAACCCTTTCACAGGTGACGCTTACCTTCCCCAGCTTTCCCCCAATCATCTCCTGCCAGCTGGATCCTGTCTTGTTCCAGCTGCACCGTCCACTCTAAGAGTGGTCATCTGAATGTCCTGGGCTGCGTTTTTACCTCTCTGCATTTGCCCTGATGATTTCACTGCCTTGGACACCACCTGCCCCTTCCCAGAAGATCCTACTCATTCCTCAATCCTGACTTGAATGCTATCATGTTCACATGGCCTCATCAAGGCCTCAGTCTGTGCTCTTTCTGATAGACAAAGAAAAATTAAAAACATAGGTTCGAATCCTGGCCACTCTCTATTTGTTTGACCTTTATAACCAGCAACTGAAACCAGTCTGGGCCTGAAGTTCTTCTGTAAGTAATACAGGCAACAAAACCTACTGCATAGGGATGTGGGGGAAATTCAAGGAGAATATGCATGGCGAATGCTGGCATTGAGCAAACTATCGTCTTCATCACTGTCTTATGTTGGTCGCACTGAACAATCAGATGCAATTATTTTTGTCACTAGAGGCTCAACTATTATCTGAATGGAACAAGAGTTACTAAAGCTCTGCCTCCTACTAGCTGTGCAATTCTGGGCAGGTTAACGTCTCCATGCCGCCATCTCCTCAGCTGTAAAACGGCCAAGGTATTGTCCACTCTATTGTAGTGGTACAACAATGAAATAGATGAATACAAATAAAGCTCTCAGAATGCTGTCTGGAACTCACTAGAACCTAGACCACATTAACTATTGCAATTTCACCAGTCACAGTAACACCACCCCCTTGACCACCTTCCCTCTCAACTACCTCGTACACCATGAAGAGTCTCGATCCCTGTAAAATGTAGGAGTGTGGTGGGTAAACACACAGAACCTGGATGATGCACAAGAACTTCCAGAGACAGTGCTGCTGGTGGAGCTGCAACCTCAAGGTTTTTCCTGAGAGAAGACTGCACCTCTTCTTGCTGAGTTTCAGAAAACATGCTTGTCCTGCAGCCTGACTCAATCTACAACCCTGCAAGCCCTCAAAACAGGAGAACGAATGAAACGGAAAGTTACTCAGAACCCCTGATCTGCTCCGTTTGTTGAGCACACACACCCGCCCCCACCCCCCCAGTCTCCTGAGTCCTCAGCGCCCTGACAGTCTTCTCCAGGGCCATGACCAGACAGCGCGCTGAAAGGTGCCGCCCTGCAGTTCAGATATGACCAGATCTGTGAACACACTGTAGCTCAGGCCTCTCTCGCTCTGTGAACTCAGGTGAGTCACTGCCCATCTTCTGCAAAGACATATGATAATGCTCACCTCTCAGTGCAGTCAGTGAGATGGAATGAAAACATTTACGTGAAGCAAGACCAGCTACAGAAACTGTAGGGCTAATGCCCAACGAAGGATGTTCTGGTGGCAGCTCTTCCAAGGGAGAAAGACAGGTAGGTCTCCTCTGATGTGAATTACACCCTCTGAAAACCTGTCAAAGTCAGGTCAGCAACAAGATGATGGTGAGATAAACACCAAATGAGAACACAGGGCAATTGGTGAGAAATCACTAAGAATTTCAAGATGGTGCCAGCAGACCATTAAGCAAAGCAAGGATGTCTGTTTATGATGCTGGCCTTGATCAGTAAAACATGAATCCCAGTGTCTGATGCAGAAATATCCAGGAAGTATTTTCTTCTTCTCCTTTCAACCAAACTAAACACTGGTGCTGACAGTGTAAGAAAATGAGATATTCCCAACTTTTAACAGGGCTCAACTTCACTCACTACCCAGCTTCCTTCAGAAGGGTCTAGGAGAGCCTGCTCGCTGGGTCACTAATTCCTGACCCTAGGCTAAACACGGAACCTCATGGTTGATCACGTACCACCCACCACCATCTCCCCTTTATGCAGGTGGGTTTTCCTGCTGGGCTAACTGGCAGCCTACAGATTGGAGGTTTGGTACTCCTCTGCTAGTTTGAATAAAATTGTGAGTTAGCTGCCAACATTTAGTAAGTGGTGGAATTCACAATAAATTTAGCAGTGAACACATCCGCTGAAGTGCTGAAGGTTGGCCATGGAGGCCTGAATC